ACACACACACACACACACACACACACACACACACACACACACACACGACACTTGGAGGTGATCCCTTTCCACAGAATGGAGCTACAGCTAGACTAAACCTGGACTGTTCCCCCCTACCCCCACCTGGAGTATCTCCCTCCTGTGAACCCAAGTGTGCCTATAGACCCTTGTCTTCAAGGGTCTCTTGTCTGTTCCCAGGCCCCCTATATTGGGTAGGAGCCTGTGACACTCCAGAGTCTAAATTAGGGGTTCTCAGCCTTTTTTTGTGTGTTATGGAGCCCTTTGGAAGTCTTGGTAAAGTCTATGGGCCCCTTCTGTTTTAGATGATAAAATATACAGGATTGAAAAAAATTATATTGAAATATTGTTATCAACATGTGGGGGGGGGGGAACCAGTTCACAGATTCAAGGTTAAGACTCCCTACCTAAACTGAAGACTTTGAAGATTGGGGTGTGGTGGTAGGTAATACAGACAGACATACATTTGTATTTGAGCCTTAGTTTCTGCATCCATAAAGTGGGGATAAAAATCCTTGCATTGTTAGTTTCCCCTCACAGCCCTGTAAAGAAAGCGCATTATAAACCTTAAAACTAGAGAAATCGATGGTGTTATTATGAACAAATACAGAGGGGATTAGGGAGGAGAGGGGCTACTGAGTAGAGGGCAGGAAGGACACCTATGGTCAGGGACTTCGGAGCCCAAGGCACTAGGTGAGGGCCCAAAGTTCATCTCCCCCCCCAAAAAAAGGAGTGGGGTAAAAAGTATGCCATCGGAGTGGGTGTTATGCCTGCTTGTGTCTCCATTTCTCTGTCTTTTTCAATCTCCACTTTTTTGAGTCTCTTTTTCATCTTCCTATTTTGGGGGGCAGTTAGGGGCTGACCCAGGGAGGAGCTTTGCCTAGTGAAGAGATGAGGAGAGGGACATGTGCCAAATAAGGATCAAGATGGGGCTGACAAGCAAGGGGGCCTGCGTGTGAGATGACTGACAGTGAGGGCTGGGAAAGGGGGGCTGTATACTTGGTGTGGACAGGGAAGGGTCGGTGTACTTAAGAATGCGCAGACACTAGTATGCAAGACTGAGATTGGGAATGAGCTGGGTTTAAGCACTGGAAGGGAGATATTTGAGTGCCTCAGATGAGCAGGGGGTCTCAGTGCGTGACCGGGAAGGATCTGCCAGCGTGACGGTAAAAGGGCGGAACCTGTGTGCGTGACGGAAATGGGAGGGGGCCGCGTGCGTGATGAGGGTGGGGAAGGGATCTGTGTGCGTGCTTGCGTGACGAAGAATGCGTTCTCTAGGGGAGTGGGAATCCGGTGGATGGGGATGGGGAGGGACTGAGTGCATCTGTGCTTGTGCGTGTTTGGGGAAAACGTGTGTTTGGGTCCCCAGAGCGCTGCGGGAGGGGCAGTGGTAGGGGGATCTGGAAAAGTAGGGCTTATGGTTGCCCCTCCCTGGTCCCCTAACTACGTGCGAGCCCCATCCCACACCTGCCCCCGCCACCCCTTCTCCTTCCCTCCTCCCCCCTCCAAGGGGCTTTTCAGACTGTTGTGAAACCGGGAGAGAAGAGTGGCTGTTAACCCCTTCCTGCCGGGCTGAAACCAGGCTGGGGCTTCCCCAGGCTGGGACAACGGGGCCACCAGCTGCACCCCCATCTCCATGGGAACCGCGACTTCCGGCCTTTTTTACTCCCCCCCCCACCTTCCAGAGCTTCCTATGCCTGCACGGGCTTGGAGAGGGGAGTGGGGGGGGACTTTTTCCAGACCCGCCCTGACTGGCTTGGGGTGAGAGGGTTCAGTGCCCTTCCCTCCCTGGCTGTGACTCAGACCCTAGGGTCCCCAGCGTACCGGGGGGCTCCACCCTATGAATCATCTCCTTTCGGCTCTCTTGACAGTGTGTGGGGGATCCCCTAAGGGTCTCAGTCTCCACCACTACAGCCCAATGCTAAGAGAGACCAGGGAGTCTGAGCACTGAAGTGCAGGACAGTGGGAAGCTTTCCAGTTTAACCATTCCATCCTGTAGGTGGTGGGGGTGGAGTGGGGTGGGAAGCAGCTGGAACACAGACTGAAGAGGGGACTTTTGATTCCCAGCCTAGAACTATTGATGGAAGCTAAGATGTTTAGCTCACATCTTTCCAGCTGAGGACTGGAAATCAGGACCCAGGTGGCTGTTTTGGCCCCACTCTTCCCACAGAATCTGGGAAGGGCCAGTATGGGTGTTTGTGTGTGTGTGTGTGTGTGTGTATGGAGGGGGGTGACTCACTCAGGCCTGGGGAGGCCTTGGCCTCTCACCCTGTGGCCCCAACTCATGGGCTCAGCACCAGCACAAGTAAACATGCTTTTGCTGTGCCCACATACAAGCCTCTGGGTCTGAGAGTCAACATAGAAGACCAGGGGTCTTCCAGTATGGTAAGTCTGTCACAGCCTATGTGATCAGCATCATGTGATATACATGCCAAAGTCATGTATGCAAAAACTATCGGGGAACAAATCTGGCTGTCTAAAGGAGCTTGGTCCCATCTCCCCATCAGACAGGAAGTTTTTGCAGAGAAAGCTGGTAGAGAAACAGTTAAAAAAAAAAAAACCTGTTGTCCTATTCATTCCAGTCCTAACTTAAAAGCTAAAGTTATCAGCTGCCCCCCCACCTAGGCTCTGACTCAAAACATCTTCCCCCCTCCTCCCCAGACCCCAAGAGGACACAGGCATCAAACTCTTAGCTCAGACTCTTTTAGTGTACTCCTGCCCTTCTCCTTAAGCTACCATTCTCAGTCTGGATGCCATTTTCTGTCCAGTGTATCTCTGGTCTGACCTGGAGAGCTCTTGGTAAATGAACAGGACTGGTTGCTGGAAATTCTTAGACCTGATCTTCCCCCCTTCCCTTCCCCTCAACACTCAGGTCTGGCATCTAGGCTCTGGATTCCCCTCCAAGAACTTAACATGTAGCTACCATTCTTCAAATTTGGTCCTAAGGGCTTCCCCTGATGGCTCTACATCCTCACTTGTCTGGCTTTGAGACCTTCTTAAGATCCACTTTCTTTGCTCCTTGTCAGAGAAAACTGCCCCTACTCTTGGCCATTTTCTGTCCTAAGGCCCCTCATTCCCTCTTCCAGGTCATATCCTAAGGTCCTGAGGAGTGGGTCTCCTAAGGATCTGGCCCTGAAGGGCCAGGATCCATTCCTCTTTACCCCAGGCCACAAGGTCTAGTCCTAACGCCCCCAGGTCTGGCCCTGAGGCTAGTTCTCCACACCCTACCACCACACCCCTCCCCCTCCCCCATCCCCACCTCCTGCCATGCACCCAGGAAGTGAGAGGCGGTGGGAGGAATGAGGAGGAACCCGTCTGGCCCGTTGGGGGCCTCCTCCCTGCCACCCTCATTCCCCAACCCTGACACAGCCCCGCCCCCAGGAACTGAGGGCCCAGAATGCCTGGGTCCCTGTGGAGAGGCTTGCAGGCTAGCCAGCCCGAGCTGTGGGGGAGGGGTAAAAGGAGGAGGAACTGAAGGATGAAGCCCAAGTCTGGTCTAGTGTCTCGGGAACATCCTGTGGACTGGAGATTCCCGGCTCTCCCCTCATCCCAACCCACCCCCTCTGGGAGACATCAGCTTGGGTCATCAGACAGTGAAAACAGGGTCACCAAAACCCTGACACACAGCTGGAGGGACACACAGACACACACACAAAACCCATACTTATCCAAGACCCAAATATAACCCAGTCATACATACACAAACATGCAGTATAAACACATATAGGTGAGGGATGCATACACACACACACACACACACACACACACACACACACACACACACACAC